TACCGGCTCCATGAACGCTGTAGCCAAGGCTAAGACCTGGCCCAAGGTTACTACCACTGCCGATACTCGATGGGTAACCTGCAGCAACGTTGGGCTGGCTAACGCCAACACCAACACCTTGGTGGCTAACACCACCCCCGTAGGCAGGACCATAAAAACTGGAACCACATTGATTGTTCCCAATTCCGTGAGAATCAACAGCAGTACCGCTAAACGTCGGCGTTCCTCCTCCCCCAGGATGTCCCCCGGGAGGTGCTCCGCCGCCTCCAGTCGGGCCACCAGGTGGTCCAGGGGGCCCTTGTCCCACCAGGAGGTGGACGCGGAACTGATCCATGACCGCCACATCCATCCCCACCATGAACTGATGGTCCCCCGTGGCCACCTCCTCCTCCAGGAGGGGGAGGCGGCACTCCACGGCTGGCGCGCTCATGCTCCGCATGGCAACGAGAACACCGTTCAAAACAGTCATGCACAAGAAACGTATGCTCATTGCAAATGTTCTTCTCGCAGTCATGACAGGAATGCATGGATACCTCCAGAGCACTTTTGCGACATGCCCAGCATCTCATCTTCAAGAAGTGGCAATTGCAACAGTCCCCATCGTCACCCCTACACAACTCGCAGAAATCACGCACACACGTAGCACAAGTAAAACTCGCACATGGGTGCCTTCGATCATTGGGGATGTCCCGAGCACATACCGCCACCTGGCGCACCGCTCGCAGTCGGTCCAGCAACTTGCCCACGATCAGATGGGGTCCCTGGAGTCCTCCGGCTATCGCCAGGACTCGGGACATTGGCACGGACCCTGTCGTTTCGGTCATCCCTAGGTGGACGGCTCGGATCTGGAGAGACACTCCCGCTATCGCGGACCTGCCTACCGCCCCTCGATTGCCGATTTCTAGCCTCGGACTCCCTATCGGGAACTGCAGCAGCTCTCGGGCTCCTGTTCCTACTCTCATCCCTATTCGGGGAAATCGAAACATTAGCCCTAGTACGCGCCTGCGGATCATCCCTTGCGCGCCTCGGCGGGGAGTGCGACCTGTCCTGCATCTGCAGAGCCCTTCTACTCCGGCTATCCGCCCTCTCCCTAACGGGAGAAACAGGGCGCCTATCTGCATGAGAAGCCGCGTCAACCCTACCAGGCACGTTCGGCAAGACATGATCAGTCAGGCTAACGCCCCCACCTGGCCTAGTCGACGGGACAGAGTCTCGAGCATCTCTATCTCCAGGAGTAGGCGTTGGCGACCTGATCCTGTGCCCTTGTCCGGCAAAAGCGTGGTATCCCACGTTAGGCCTCTCTCGGGGTCCACGAGGATTCTGTTGAACAAACTGAACCATATCGGCCGCATCATCGATATTTCCTTCGAGATCGGCAAGCTGCGCCATAACTCGGGTATTCATCTCATTCAGGGTGCGGATGTTGTTCTCGGCAGTCCCAAGCCTTCGCATGCACGCATCTAACATGTTACGATAGAAGACAAGTTCCCGTCTAACGACGGCCTGTGTCTGCTCTGCGGTTGAAGGAAGATTAGCAAGCTGCGTCCTTATTATAGCCTGCACAGCCTGCTGAAGCCTCTGCGTGTTCTCATTGAACATGACGATTTGGGTGTTCGCAGCCCCAACATCCTCAACAACGGTGTCATAACTCCGAGCTCTTGAACTTTCCGATTAATCTCCTCGATCGCCTCGCGCCAATCCTGAGGTGCATCTGGGTCCCTAGGCCTATCGGCCACAAGGGATCCCCCGTCACTCCGTGATTCCAGCATCCGGTCGGCGAACGACCTGTGCTCAGCATGGAGCTCGTCAATGGCCGAAGTGGCCCATTCCGCATGTCGATCGCTCTCACCTTGGAGTCTATCGACTCTCGCGACCAAGTCCCTGATATTCACGTCAGCTCCGCTGCTAACAGCCCTATCGGGCCCCGATGCAGCCGGAGCATCAGAGGATGGAATCAGCCTAACGGCCTTCTCTACTGAATAGAGCCGGTTCTCGAACTTCTCAATCTCAGCGTTGGTCTGGTCCTCAAAGGCACCTTGACTTCTGAAGATAGCATGATACTTGTCCTGAATAGCCTGATGAAGCTGACTCATGCCACCTTCTAGGTCCCTAACGGAATCCCGGATCTCGTTGGAAAGTGAGTTGATCCTCTGCTCCACAACCTCACTTTGCTCATCGATAGCATGCCTAACAATTGCCCTGCTATCGGGAATGACCTCACCGGCAAACCGTTGAACTATCATTCGCATTCGACCAGCATCCGCTTGGGTCGCAACCTCAGTGGCTAGGCGGCTAACCCTGTCCTTCATCAGCTGATTCTCATCATGCCACTCCTTGCGCGTGGAACTCACCTGACCGTTCAGTAACCTGATTTGGTTAGCAAATGCATTGAGGGTATTTGCAACCGAACCAGACGCCTCGCCTCTTTCGAACAACTCCTGGATGTGCAGATCAAACACTTCCTTAACCCTAGCGTCACCAGATTCAGCAGAAGAATGAGATCTCAGGGCTGGAGGGGTCGATATCTCGATCCTCTCAGGAACCCTTTCAACTCTGTTACGTCCTCTGGGGTCGGAGACAGGACCATCAGTGATCCTGGGCGGCCTGGTTGGACTGATGCCCCTTCCCCGGCTATCGCCGGATCTGGGATTGACATTCGACCCATGAGATTCAGGGGTGGAATGAATATGAACATCAGCGGGATCAAACATGTCCTGGTGTTGAACCTATCGGTTCAGGGCTAGCCCTCCTCGCCTTCGACCTATCGGTCCCTCCGGCTACGGATGACGGCCTTTTCGCAGAAGCACTGCGTTCCCTGCTGGCTGATCCCCATTGGGGAGTGAACTCGTTGCTAGACCTTAGTGGTTCGAGGTCGCTAAGATCTCGCCCTAACGGGCTGGCGATCGGCGGACGATCCTCGATTCCAAGTGCACTAGCAAGCCTCCCGTCCCTCGCACCTGCTTCAACCGCGTTGGCGGCCCGCTGAGTAATCCTGGATGAACCAGTACCCCGGTTTACACCCTCGACTCTCTGATGCAGCGGTCCTCCAAAGGTGATGTTAGGAAAAGGGGGAACATTCGGGACGGGATCAATCACGGGAGGACCTATCGGTCCTCTTCCGTCATGGATAGCATCCAAGCCCCTAAGAGTGCCCCGACTGTCCCCGATCCGCTCTCTCTCACTCCGGGTGTCAGTGTCCACACGCATGTCCCTAGCGGGACCACGAGTGAGGCTCCTGGCCCTCGCGGCATCACGGCTCCTTGCATTTCGGTATGCCAAACTCTCTTCCAGCTCACGAGCATCCGCAAATGCTGCATAATCTTCATCATTACCGAACTCAAATGGAGCCGTTAAAGCAGGGTTGAGCCTATCAGTATCAGATTCAGGCTTCACTCCACCGCCCCATCCTGCAGTCGACGTTAACAGGACATCGTATCCGATGCCTGCAAAAGCCCTCTCCCCGCTCTCATCAAACTGACCTGGATTCTGGGATCCAGTTGCTCGACCCGAGATATCTCTCGGAGCCAAGGCCATGGTCCCTGGTCCTTGCTGCCTGTCCTCGACTATCTCCGGAGCCTGCATTTCGCCTGGAAAAAGAGACCTAGGAGATCGACTAGGCATGGCTTCCAGATCGTCCGCATGAGGACGAGCCATGTTCATCGCCATACTGATGAAGTCCAAATGTCCTTGTCCGAAACCTGATTCGGAGCCGCCCCTATCGGGGCGAGCTCCTCGTCCTTGTTCATCATCGGTGGCCTGACGGAAAATGCGGTCGTCTCCATCGTCAGTGTACCTGCCACGGCTTCGGGGAGTGTCCCTATCGGGATCATCACCCCTACGGTCCTGACCTGTCGAACCTGCTTCGAATTCCTCGTAGCTATAGTCCGGCAAGTCCTCACCTGAACGGAGACCACCTAGGATAGCCTCCTCATCCACGACACTCCTGTGAGAGCGCGGGGTCGACGTCATTGAGCTTGTAGTTGATGGTCTCAAGCGCGTAGGAAAGTCCTACGGCTGATAACCTGTGATTCGGGCACGAACCTATGCCCAGGCAATGGGTAAGTTGGGGTAAACAAGCCACAAAAGAAAGGTTCCCCAAAAGCAAACCAATCCCCGGTCCCAAAGATCAGGGTTTCCCACACACCAGAGAACAACAACCAAAAGAGAAAAGAGTTAACCCGCAACCTTGATCGACGACAGGCCGCAGATCCCTACCAACCTGACGGCGGCCCGAGGTCTCTTTCTCCCCCGAGATGCCGTCGGTCGACGCAGGGGTTCGGCGACGCCCATCCGAGGCGCGACGGAACCCATAAACTTGAGCCAAACATCACCGGTCGGTCACTATCGCGACTTCCCTGATGATGCTTTAAACCATGGCTAATCACAGAATCAATCCTTCCAGTGGGACAATGCGCGGCAGTGCCAATGCCAGGCCTGTCCAGCCTGGCATGTCACCCCACCAGAGTTGCAACTATTGGATCAACAGGGGGGGGCAGGGGGTTGCCGCGCTTCGAAAAGAATCTGCCAACCCATCCTCGAAAACAACCAACAATTGTATGTCGCTTCCCCGACGCCCTTCGTCCTGCTAGCTGCACTAATGCGGGTAAAACATTGAACAACACTATGCTTTGAGCGCGTACAAAGAATTGTGTCTCTTGCAGGTGCCGCAAATTTGCGCGATGGTAGCGTAAGGACCATGATGTTTGTCTTGACCATTAGTGCGATGCCATGCCAGCTGATGTTGCACATGAGACCAGCCAGCGCCGCCCACCAAATGCCCGCAAGGGTGCAAGTCGAGAATCGCAAAGCAGTGTTCCACACAGTTACAAATTGAACATGTGCGCAAGTGCATTGACGCAACCTGCTGTAACATCACAGTTCTTCATCGTGAGTCATGCCGGGCATCCTCTTCCAAGAGTTGCATTGAGTCCAAATTGAAGCTCTGATCTGACTGCATGCCGCACCCCCCCACCTTGGGGCTCTCCATCCGAGGCCGGAGCTGAGGTAGCCCTTTTTTGTGGCATCCAGCCGGCCGAACTGCACCCGCAGCAGGTCCTCCCTGACCTTCCGGATGTCTGCCTCGTCGACGCCTGGCCGATGGCTGGGCTCCAACAGCAAAGGCGCGGACTCCGAGGGCGAGTCCAAGGCTTCAGTTGAGCCTCCTGGAGAAACGTCGTCTTCATCGATCCGGGTGTGCCAGAACTTTGACGCAGTCCTTAAGCTTGACAGAGCAAAGAGGCAAAAGCTTAAAGGATCTCCAATGCAATCAAGCGGCGACCGCCCTGGCTCTGCATGGCCCTCTATCTGGGGGCCCTGGTGCATGTGGGAGCTCTGTCGCAAGCTCCTTCCCAAGAAAGAAAGCTGATTGTACTGCCATGGAGCGCTGAAAGTGTCCTGGCAGCCCAAGATTCCTCCTTCCTTGGTCGCACGCCCACTCCCTTGCTCTGACCATCGGATGCTCGACCATTGCCATCTGGATGCGCCCCAAGTGCAGCCACAGAGTCAAATCTGCACTCTTGCCCGAGCCGTCCGACCTCACATGTGAGCCATTCGAGCCAGAGCATTTGCCATTCCATTCAGAACTTTTTAGCAGCTTGGCTGCTCCTTTTCTCAAAGAACGCCGCGCAGGATTCACGCTTTCCCATCGGCCTCGAGCCGTGCGTACCTCGCAAGGTTCGAGAACTGCGTTAGGGGGGCCGCATCAACATCCGGCTGGTGTATGACGTAGAGCTCGAAAGCTTCCACCCCAGACCTGCGGAAGGCTTGCCTTACACGGTCTTGGTCTAGCTCGGGCAGCTGCCCCGTCTTGCTGACCAGCAGGGAGCCCGTGTAGCTCTGGCCGACGGAGCGGGCCGCGCCCGCGTAATGCAGCACCGCCCAGGCAAGGTCGTCGGCGGCATCCACGATGCGCCAGAACTCGCGCAGAGAAATCCCGTTGTCTTCGGTGCTCAGATGGAAGCTCCCTGGCTCAGCTGGAAGGACGCGGTAGTGACGCTTGCGCCACACCTCCGCCCCATCCAGCGTCACCACCCGGAAGACGGGGTCATACCAGCCACGGTTTCCGCGAGGATCCCGGTACCAGCTGTTGTACTGGCAGGGAAAGTAGTCATAGGCAGGGTTCTGGCCAAACACAGGCCTCCAGGAACAACTGCCCTGCTCCAGAGACCAGTGACCCTCCATGATCTCCCACGCGGTGTCCACAGTCAAATCTTTGCCCCTGAACTTCTTCAAAGGCTCGAATTCCACCTGCGGAATCTGCGCGTCACAATCGAAGATGCCCCGCCGCTCAAAGCAGCGCACGAGCTGTGCCAAGGCAGCAGACTCGTGGCTCACAGTGCAGCGATACATCTGCGTCTGGTCACGCACGTCGCAAGCGCTCTGGCATGCCAGACATGCCCTAGCTTCCGCGTCCAAGCCTGCCTCAATTGCCTGGGACAGGCAGTTCGTGCAAAGGCGCCAAATCTTCTCCGGACTGTCAAGCTGTGGCTCCTGCAGCAAGGGCACTGGCGCCACCGCAAACTGAATGGCAAAAAGCAGGGCATAAAAGGCATCCTCCGCCGTCTGCCGCGACCAAAGCTCCGCACAGCGCGTCAGCACCTCGCGGCTGCTCTTCTTCTGCTTCGAGCGCGGCCGAAGCCGGGAGCCTAGCCAATCCGTCGTGGACACCAGGTTCTCCGCGCGACTCTCGCGGGCGAAGTTGACCAAAACCACCAGCTTCGGCGCCTCGGCTTCCTCGACGTCGAGGTCGAGGTCGCGGAGGTCGCAGTCCAACCCCGGCACCGCCAGGCGCAGCTTGCGGCAGAGATGCGCCGCGGCCTCGCGCCACGAGGCGCCCCGAAGGCCCAGCGCAGCAGCCGCGGCCTCGTCGCCCCAGAAACACGCGCCGTCCTGGACCACCACCGCCACATCCCGCCCCGCGCCCGCGCCCAGGCCCGCAGCCCGGACATGCGCCCGCAACCTTGCCGTGCGGCGTGCCGCGAGCCCGCAGGCAAAGGCTCCCAGAGCCCCGGCTGAAGCCCTGACGCCTCCGAATCTGCCGGGCAGCTTGGCGACTGACTGCGGCGCCCTCGACCTGGCAACCCCCCTCGCGACTGCCAAGGTCCGGTCAGAATTCAAGCAGGGCCATCTTTGCATTGCGCCCAGAATACGCACGGCACGCTGCTGCAACACATGGGAATTGATTACACTGAGATCTCGCTTGAGCAGAAAGCTGCTAATTTCCAAAAGCAACTTGTCCACAAGAGGGTGCCATAGTGTCCTGAGGCTCGAGCGGCAAAGCGTGCATCGCCTGTTCTTGCCGAGCCCTTTTGCGTTGCATGGATATTTGACTTGCAGCGCCCGACCTCTGCTTTGAGGGCAGCATGTCTTGGTACCTCGGGGACTCAGCGCGCACGAGGACGTCTGCACCAACCCGTGCGACCTCATGAAAACCAGAGTGAACCACTGGCACTGCATCAAGCTTTTGCTGTCAGGACACCGGTCCACTCCCATTGGACCTTGGGGCGGGTTGAAACGGATCGATGGCCGGCGCAACCATCGAAGCCAAGGATCGCCAGTCCTTCGCTCACATCGGACACAAGCTTCTGCAAGGCCTCGCGGGAACTCCGAACCCCGATCGCACAACGTCAGTCACTCTGGCTCTCCTTCTCACCGGCTTCGGCCTGACCATGCCTTGCCCCATTTCTATCCGATCCCCCGTTTGCTAGGGAATGAACTCATCAAGTCTCTTCCCATTTACTAATTCAATCAAGCCTATTCCCATGTCGACTCTTACCTCTCCTTTTCTTCTTCGCTTCCCTCGTTCGCTCAATTCGGCCATCCTCCGAGTTCTCCGTGAGCTGGTGGACCTGGCGCTGGAGGCGCTGCACCTCGCCGGCCAGCGCCGCCAGCCACACGCCTGAAGCCCAGAAGCCCAGGCCGGGCCCCGGGCTCCGAAAGCCGAGGGAGACGCACATCGACTTCTCGACATCGAAACACCGAGCGGAACAGCGAGCCCACAAAAAAACAAAAATCAGATGTCGGGGCGGGGACTTCGGAAAAAGGAACGACCCTCGTCAAACGAAAGCAAAACAAAGACACGACCTGCGACGCCTTTCGGCTCTGGCAATCGAAGACTTTCTGGGCACCCTGCTGGTGCCGGGCTTGTCCGGGTGCGGCATCGGAAGATTCACTGCCCCGCCCCCATCTGGAGCCAAAGAGGTCGCGTGCGCGGAAGCTCGGGGAGCACAAAGCGCCATGCCGCGCTCACAAATGCACCGCATACCAAAGGATTCCAAGATACTCCAAGAACACGGGTGCCTTCCAGAGCCATTGCCAGAGCTTCTGCCTCGGGCAAGAGCTCCCTTCGAACAGTCCTTCGATGTGAGGCGGCAAAGGCCCCCACAATTTGCTGGCAGAACAGGCCGCCTGGCTCGAAACCACTTCGCAACTACGATGCCAGCAAACCGCTCTGCAGGCTAAACAGAGTGCCGGCGTCTGGCATCCCAATTCCAACTGGGCGCACCCAGCTTGGCCAGCGACTCCGCTGCTCGTAGCCTCACCTGAAACCACAAAGCCCCGCATGTGTCGCATGTCTCGCATGCCCAACATGCCCGGCATGTCGCTTGGTCGCTCGGTCGCTTGCCTCCTTGTCCTTGTCCTGCAGGGCTGCCACCAGGAGGCACTCCGCCTGCGCCGCCTTGCGACTCGAGCGCAGCATCCGAGCGAGGCCCCGAGCGAGCCCCGAGTCCCCGGCGCACACATCCCCACCTCAGGCCATCGCCGTGGATGCGTTCCAATCGGAGGCATGTTGGAGGCATGTTGCGTTGTGCTTGGCGCACGCTTTTCTGAAAACGATGCGCCATGCGCTCTGCAACAATCTTGGAGTGCAAAAGGCGCTTCCTTTGCAAGGCGAAAAATGATTGAAACTTCAAAGGTCCTCGAACATGGGCAGCGCATGCTCGGGCAAGCTCGCTTTGGAGATGTATTTCCGGAGCTCCGCGGCGTTGCAGGGGGCCCCTTCTGCATCCTCCCCCGTGACGAACACGAACTTGCTGAAGGTCACGGGGTCCAAGAGTCGCTTCACCTGGCGCCGCGGGAAACGTTTGGGTACGTTCTCGTGAGTCACTTGAGTCTTTGAGGCAGCGGCAATGGCCAGGATCGCAGTGGTGAACCATGGCATGGGGAAGATGATCCTTGGATTGACATCAATTCACCAAGAAAAGCGGATTTTTCAGCACAATTGCAGCCAGGAATCAGACGCCGTAGCCGCTCGGGGTAGTGGGCAGAGATAATCCGCGCACATGACCGAATGAAGGGCAGGAGCTTGAGGGCCTCAGGCACATCTCGCGCTCTATGTTCTCGTTTTTTGCCGCATTTCCTGTCATATCGGCTTGCCGCTTGCGGTGTCTGGGCTCTGGACTGGGGGGTTGGGCCATCCGTAGCCGCGCCGGACGTCAATGAGCACTGTCACGCGCATCCTCGCTGCACAGAACACAGCTCAAGTTCAAACGTGGCGCTTGCCATCACTTGCCACCTGTGTGCCAAGTTTCTCTTCGCTCTCGGTGAAGAGGCCGTCCAAGACATGGCAAATGGCCAAGGTGTACTCCTGCCAGCAAACAGCCGTTGCCAGGCGCGCAGCGAAACCGTGATGCGCTAAACGGGAAGGCCAGTGCCAACATAGCCGTACATGTTTGCTTTCGAGAAGCCGTCCTCGGGTTTTGCCGCGGCTTCAAGGTTGTAGCGTGCCCCTTGCACCAGCAGCACTTGCGTGCCATCCAGCGCGCCATCAAAGCCACCACCACAGAACCTAAGGCTTCAAGGGACAACACAAACACGATTGAAACGCCAAAAAGGCAATCCAAAACCGAAACCTTGTTGCAATGTCGCTTCAAAAACACAAAAACAACTCAAGCGCAACGAAATGTGCCGCAAACCCTATCCGCAGTGCGCCCGGGTCCCATCCAGTCCTAGTGCCAAGCAAGTAGCCCGGAAGGAACCTTGGCAAAGGCGAGCGCCAGCTGCTCAGGGTGACCCTCACCTTTCCGCCACTCTCGATTCGCCTCATACATCGCCTCAGAACGGCCGAGGGTGAGTTGCGTAGTTCCGTGCTAGATTCTCCGAGCGGCCACGGCTGCCTTTGGATCCCGCCACCGCGCTTGCGCGAAGCGCAGAAGTTCACCCTCCGGAGCGTCCTGAGCTAAAACGCACAGGACAACGTGATCGGCCGACGCCTTGTGAAATCTGGCCGACAGCAAGGAAACTCGGCCGACGCTTGTGTGACCACCTCGACCACCCCTGCAAACCACTGGACAAACCAACCGCCGCTTCAGGAACAAACCACTGGAAAGCGGAAACCAGCCAATTCCCGAACAAACCACTGGAAAACCAACTGCCACTTGCCGAACAAAGCACAAAACAAAGCCACCAATTCCCGCACAGACTGTTAATTGCCGTTAAGGAAGTGTCCGTGTTAATTGCCCCGCTGCTTTTGTTGGTGTTTCAAGGTCTATCTGGGCCGAGACTCAGGAAACGTTGTCGGAGGCTCTTCAAGCAAGGGCGAAAATAGGGTCCATTTTTTGGGAACAGGCTCGCCATCCGTGCCCCGCGTGTCAGCCGCGCCTAGACGGACTGAAACCCACTGCCAATTCCCGAACAAACCACTGCCCAACCGTACTGTCCATCCCAGATCCCAGCCATCCTGATCACCTCGACCATCCCGACCATCCCGACCATCTCGACCATCCAAATCATCCCGACCGACCCGACCGTTTGACTGCCCCGACCCGTCCAAACCATTCCGGCCATCCCGACCGTCACAACCGTCCGGACCATCCCCATGTCCCAGCCGTCTGCTTTTGTTTATTATTTTGCGGCGCTTGTGTTTCGGAATCTGTGTGTTTGAACGTCGTTTCTGTTTTTCTGAGAGTCGCGCACGACCGACGCTTGCAACGCGTGCTGAGCGGCCGGGTACTTCTCCTCCAGCGCAGCCAAGCTCGCACTGTGAGCGCAGCAGCAACGCGTGCGCTTGCCTGCGCAAAGGAGCTTCACCGGCCGGACCTTCCAAAAAGATTGGCCTGACCTTTGCACCGCGCTTGTCCCCGCACGGCACGTGTGAACATCTAAACACGCGGGCTTCCAACCGGGCCCCGCCTCGCATGCCCCGCATTCGCAGGTGCAGCGCCAAGAACGGGAGGAGCCATGGCGAGCGCTCTAGGCGCGGCCCGTGGAGGCGCATCGCCGGCCACGAGCGCAGCACATGCGGGCGCCATCCGCATGGCACCTGGTGCAGACTGAAACAAAGCCTCAAATGGAGGGCAGCCTCCAAAACCGCGCTCTTTGGACAACGCCCTCGAACATTCACACTATACCGAGCCTCCACCGAAATTTCCCGAGCCTGAGCACCGAGAGGCTCTCGCAAACCAAGCGGCAGTGCCATGGCTCCGCCCGCGTCAGCCCATGAGGCCGAAGCTATGAGCTCCGAGATCCAGGTTCCGACAAATTCTCAGAAGCAAGCAGCTAAGGAGCTAAGGAGCTGAGGAGCAGAAATCGCATTTCCCTGTGGAGCCAAGTCAGTTTCGAATCGGGGGGTGATGCCTGCACCCCCCATCCAGTGCGTCATGAATTGCTTATTGATGCCGCGCCAGCAGCTGATGCAGCTGGAGCCAGAGCGGCCAACTTCTGTCAAGAGCGGGGCACAACGGCTGTCAACAAGTCAAGCTGTGAGCCGGCGCAAGGCCAACCGTCTGGGGCTTCCTACCGATGGACCCCAGGGCTGCCGCAGCTGCACGGCGGACGCTGGCCTAACCGCCCCGCTTGCATCTCCCATCCCTCTCCCTCGCCAAGTCTGCAAAGAAGGCAAGGCACCGATTTCGCCATTTTTTTTACGCGCCCCGCCCAGACAGCCCCCTTTGGCGCGCAGAGAAGGGCAGCCGGATGCTTGGCGAAGCTTCAATTGCTCTGTCTCTTGACACCCACACTCCAAAGAACATCTCTTCCGAACTGAGATCAAACTCTCACGTCGCGTCCCACTTCGCTTCGCCGCCGCACGTCCGCACGTCCGCTTCAGACGTAGCAGCGGCGCTGCTTGCGCCGGCGGCTGGCGGAACGCGTCCGGGACCGGGACCGCCGGAACCGGTCCCGGGAGCTCTGCTGGTCCCGGTCGCCCCGCAGCTCCCCGCAGTCCTGGCGCTGCAAGGCGCTTGCCGAAACAGGTGAGAAAAAAGAGGGGAAAAGGTGAGAAAAAAGGGGGCTCAGCATGCGAGAACTAGTGCAAACCAATGAGATAGCGCAAGTATAAACACGGAAAGGGTACAAAGTGAGACATGCCCAAAGCATGAGACAAGGCTGACGTCTGGAGGGCTCCAAGAGCAACCCCACGCAGAGGGCAGCACAGCCAAAGCTGGGCAAAGGGTGACAGCTGCATGTGATGCAGAGATGCACCAGGCAACGGTCCTTGATGACCACAGTTCCTCCAATCGACTCGGCTCGTTGCCACGCGAGCACCACGCGACCACGCGACAAAAAAGCGATCAAGGTCCTTTCACCTCCCCGGAGGGCGAGCCGCTGGCCTGCAGGCGCTTCATCACCTGAGCCACGTGCAACACAAGAATAGACGGGCGACCTAAGCGTAACCGGCGTAACCTCGACGTTTCGCCTCCGGAGCCTCCCTCCGTCCTGTTCCTTCCGCTCCCCGGCTTCCCGGCTCCCCGGCTCCCCGGCTCCCGTTCGCCTGGCCGTCCTCCCGAACAATCTCCCCGAAGACCACGTGCTTGCGGTCCAAGTGCCGGGCCTGGCGAAGCAACGGACACACAGAGAGAGCAACGAAAAGAAATCAACACAAAGAACATAACCGAAACATGCACTGACAACACAGATTCTACATGACCTAGACCCATCCGTGCATTCATGCAGAGGCATCGCGCGAGCTGGACGGCAGGCGGCCTGGCCGAAGAGGACGAAGAATTGGGAATTGTTCCTCGGCGGCTGTTCAAACGCTTCAGACCGACCAAAAATTGCACGTCACATTACAGTTCCCAATATACCTCTTGAATCTTCTTGGCACCATGTGTTGCCAAACGTGTTGCCATGTCTCGTGTGGGGCCCACTGTTGGCCATGGAGAGCAGGTTGGCTCGGGCATGAAGCCGTGCGAATGACTCATCCGCAAAGGTCGGGCCGTAGATCGACCGCCCTCCTACACGAAATTTGGACTTGCGCGAAATTTGCCGATGCCTTCGTCGCACTCAAAGCACTCAGCTCCTGTTCCGTCCCCGTCAGTGATGTCGCCGCCTTGCGCCATGAAGCCAGGGATGATCCGGTGGAAAACGCTGTTCTTGAAGGAGAGATCTCGTCCTGGAGTCAGTTGCATTCTGTCCCTGCACGGAGCCCTTCCGGGCAAAAGTGAACTGAAAAACAAGGCAAAATATTTGGAAAATATGCTTTAAAAGTTTAAACAAACGAATAAAGCATGGAAACAAAACTCTCCGAGAGCGCCTTTCTCGCCGGTGCAGAGGCACCGGAAGTTCTCCGCGGTGCGGGGCACCGCGTCTGCGAAGAGCTCCTCATTCGCAAGTCCCCGACGCCCGACGCCGCCCGGCCCGGCCTGAAATCCTCGGGATGTCCACTACTCATATCTTACAAAACCGCCAGCAACAAACGGCCTGAAGTTGTTAGTTTCAACTTCGAAAATTTATAAAACCCATTGACCGTGAAATTTCGCCTAATGACCGTGAAATTGCGCCCAATGACCGTGAAATTTCGAGTAATGACCGTGAAGCCGCAATGCTTGCCATTTTTGACAACAAAGGGGACATATTTCAGCATTCTCCAAACGTGTATAATTGTTTGCCAACACTGCGCTCTCTGGCAACACTTTCACAATTTAAGGGCAAATGTGGGTGTTTGGGAAGGAGGCGCCCTGTGCATACATGGACCAAAATGCATGCCGACACACGGCAACACTGACACAGCGCTCTGTTGCGGCCCTGACACAAAAGAGCAAGTTCTGCTAAATTGAGAAAACACGATCGATCATAATATTCAACGTCGAGGGTGTGTGAAGGCGTCGAGTGGATGACACTGAGTCGAACGAGCATCTGGGGTTCATTCAGATAAGGCCAATACTGTCTGGGTCGAGATTTAGTTTGGGATTTTTTGTCTTATTTTTGGAATTTTGTTTGTTTTCCGTCCTGGCTACTAAAATTCTGCAATTTACAGCATTTTCTCGCGAAATGTACGTATTTTACGGCTAGTCCGTCAACATCATTAGCATCGTTTTCAACATCCCCGCATGTCCAGCCAACATCACCAGCATCACCAGCATCACCAGCAAATCGAGCGCCTTGGCTTCCTGCATCTTCAGCATCACCAGTTCCTGTATGCAGGTTAAAAAGAGGGGCGGGTCCCCCTCATGATGGTAAAAGTGAGGGTTCAAATACGTGCGAACTAATCCCTGTAAAACACCTAAAACGTAGCGGGGGGGGGTTGCAGCCCCCCCATGATGATTGAAAAAGTGATGATTCGATTAGAGGTGCATTTTAATCTCTGCCAAAAATCCAAAAAGTAGCGGGGTGGGGAAGGGTGAGGTTGGATTACCGGGGCCTCAATCGTGGCCCCAACAAAGAAGAATACCTCGTGGTTGTCCCTGAACCTATTCCGGGAAAGTCAAATGGATAGGCCATTTAGTTGGTGAAAGACATATGTTACTATAGATACTGCAAGCACTCTTGTTTGACCGCAAGGTAGTGTCAAGTCACCGGGCCTGTGCAACATGGTTATGAACCAAATGGCAGCGGAGGATCTACATATAGTACATGTTGCCTATGAGTGGACTCTTGGTTCGGCAAGAAGCAAAACACGAAACAAAACAGACACAATTTCTTTCCACTCATGGCACAGTGAATTGGTGTGAAAATTGCCTTTGGTTCGACAGGCCTGAATATTACTGCACCGTAGCCATATGAACGAATCGCAAAAAAATCCGGCGAAATCTATTCCAGCTGAATCTATGCTATATACACGATCGACGATTGAAACAAAGGAGACACTGTGAGACCTAGGATGGTGAGATATTCCGGGGGCCAGAAGTTCGTGTCAAAGGCGTTCTGGGCGGCGTTGATGACCTGTCGCGCGGGTAGACAGAAGATCTAACCAATGTACTCCTAAAGCGGTCAATGCAAAGAGCTCGCTTTTTGCCGACCTGTCGCCCCATACGTTCACTGCCAACCAAGGATCTCGCATTCAATTCGGTTATGGTATTCTTCAGGCCATACTTATAGACTTATAGGAGCCCTCTTGAACTTCCTGGGAGGGGTGAAACGACTGCGAGACAGCGATGGGTTCAACGCTGTGCTGCTGCAGCCTGTGGGGTGCGAACTCCTTAATTAGAAGGGATCTGGCCTGACGCTCGTTGACGCCCAGAACCGAAGAAATCTTTGGAGGTTGAGAAGGCTGAGTTCCTACTGGGCGGCCAATAGCCGGGAAAAAGGGGGAACACTCCGGATGTTGGAGGGCTCGTTTCTGCTCTGGGGGCCTAAGTTCGCCTTCAGCACGGGATAGTGCTTCTTCAAGTGCGTCTATCTGTTCGGGTTCCTCTTGCGTCGCCAGCCGGTCTTGGTCTCCACTGAGTCAAAGTAGACCACGTCCACCCCCAGCCGAGTCCACAGACCGAAAGACGCCGATATTCGCCCGCAACTGGCGGATGGCGCTCCGCCTCTCACCTTGCCACAAGAGGATGCTGGAAACTGGCAGAGCGCGGTATTTCTCTGCTAGCTCCAACCCTCCGCGTTGCACTTCTCCCACGCCTTGGCAACTTGGAGCTGCTTCTGAGCCAGCAGCTCCTCCCACCGGTGGTAAGATGCCATGTACTGCCCTCCCTCAAAAAAAACGGATCCTCGCACCAGGTCATTTCCCCCAATTTCATGAGGCCCGCCTTGCGGTTCAGCTCGGTCTTGGATCTTCCAAGTGTCTAGGGCATCTTTGGGGAGCACGGCGTCCAAAAAGCAGCCTGAAAGACGCTAGGGTCAAAAAAAGAAAGAAAGGACAAGGAAAGCATTGACCGTTTGGGGGTTATGAAAGAAAAACACAGAGCACATCTGCGTTGACCGTTTTTGATTTCGAAAGCAAGTTGCCGGAAAGCAGAGAAGGTCCGCTGGAGCACGTCGATCCAGCCAGACGAGTAGGGTTTCCGGTAGCTCTTCCCGGATGTGGGCCAGGAGGCAACGCTGCTGCACATTCCAGGCGAGGGGCCTTCATCTGCGAGACCAAGCGTCTCGTCCGCGAACTGCACGAAGCCTAAGAACCTCTCTACATAGGTCTTCGCGCCCTCGTCGGAAAGCTTTGCCCGGCGCTGCTTGACGCCCTTCTCATCGGGCGCCCCCTGCGTGAACCAGCTCAGCTCCGCAGCCAGGTTTTTACCGGAGGCTCGGTACCTGGGGTGAAAGATGCAAGGGGCGTCCAACAGTTCTCCCTCCCATGTCCCACCCTAACACCAAGCCCTCCGGGATGTCTAACTTGCGTTGCCGGCGCGCCCCTGTGGGCGGTGATGGCACGTGCCCACGCAAGGCGGACAAGCAGAGCTGACCGCAAGACAGCGGGTCGCTCTAGTAGTTGCTTTGGCACCTCTTAGCTTTGTGTCACAGACACTACTGGACTCTCTCGCCACGTTGAGGCGGGTGCCATTCGAGAGGAAAAACGCGTGTTTTTTGGGTGGCACGCTCACCGAGGACGGTCACCGCCAGGTACCTGCATCGAACAAGCCGCGGCGTCTGCGCGCCCTGGAAACCGTAAACAAGCCCGCCTATGCGACAAATTCCTGCAAATCAGTCTCGCAGCATCTGTTTGCCGCAGCACAGAAGTCTCCCTCAGCACCATTTTCTACCGCTGCTGTCTTGCGTCTCTGTCTCTATGGGAAACACCGGGCAGTGTCTGTGGTTAAGTCTTGCCCGCCGGTTCCTATACGTACCAGGCACATGCGAAACACAGAGCAGTGTCTGTGGCCAAGTCTTACTGAACGGTTCGTACGTCTTCCTGTTCTCTTTGGTTTGTTGGCTCTAGTAGCGGCTCTGTGGGCTACTGCCGATGGCATGGCAGCGTGTTCCACGTCACTTCTGGCTCTGCTTCTTCTTTTTCGGCAGCGGCTCCTCCTGGTCAAGCTTGCTCTTCTTCGCTTTCTTGCTCGGCTTCTCGACCACCGCGTCTGTCTCGGCCTCCTCCTCGCGGCGAGGCGTCTTGGCCTTCGTGCTCTTTTTCTCGGCCACAGGCTCCGCTTCCACCGGCACATCCTCGCTCTTCTTGGCTTTCTTTGCTTTCTTGGTCTGCACCTCCTTGGCGTCGTGCTTGTTCTTTCCCCTCTGTGTGTCCTTAGCGCGGGCAGCCACTTTGGTCTTGGTCTCCGGCTCTTCGTCCTCATCCTCGACCACCTCCACGCGCGCAGCCTTCCTGCCCTTCTTGCTCTTCGCGTCCGGCTTGGCTGCCTTGCCCTTTGGCTTGCTGGCCCCTTCGCCTTCCTCCGCAGCTGCTCCTCCTCATCCTCGTGCTCCGAGACCGCTTCGTCCTCGTCATCCTCCTCGCTGGGCGGCTGCTTTTTGGAGCGCTTGGCGGCCTTCTTGGGCGGCTCAGCAGGCTCCGCTTCCTCGTCCTCTTCCTCCTCCTCCTCCGGCTCGGGCTCCTCCACCTCCTCTGGTTCGTCCAGCTTGAGTCCGGCGTACCGGCGCTTCACCGCCGGCTTGGCAGTCCATGCTCCGCTCTGCACTTGCTTCTCCATCAGCGCCATAGTCCAGAACTTGGCCAGGCGCTTTGTCGAAGGTGCCTTGGCCAGCTCTTTCCAGGCGTCAGCACCGTGCTGGTCACTCCCCCCCCCCCACATGATGATCGCAGTAAAAAGTAGCGGGGGGGTTGGGGGGGGGGGGGCGGCAGCCCCCATGATGATCAGTCGTGATGATTCATTTTTTTGCAAAAAAATCTAGAAAGCAGGTGCCGGGGGGGGCAGCAGCCCCCCATGATGATTGAAAAAGTGATGATTCAAACTAAAGGCGCGGGGAAGTGATGATTCAAATTAAAGGCGCGGGCTGCCACCCCCCCAAACCCCCCGCTGCTTTTTTTACATTTACATATATATATATATATATATATATTGCTAATTTAATCATCTTTTTCGATCATCATGGGCGCGGCCCGCCCCCCCCCCCCCCAACCACCCCTGCCCATGATGATCGAAAAAGTGATGATTAAAGAATCTAAAAAGTAGCTGTCGCATGATGCTCGAAAAAGTGATGATTCAATTAGGCGTGCATTTTCTTCGAAAGGGGGTGGCGGGGGGCACCAGAGAGGAACTTGCAATGCTGAGGATGCAGGAAGCCAAGGCTAAAAACCAACTGGGAAAGCAGAGGATGCGAAAAGCCAATTCCAGAAAGCCGCCAAAAGCCACAAAGCCAAAAAGCCACCTGCCGCAGCGGAACTGGCAATGCAAAGGATGCGAAAAGACAAACAAAGAGGAACTGTGAATGCAGAGGATGCGAAATGAAAAGTCACAAAAGCCACAAAAACCACAAAAATCCACGTAAAAGCCACAAAGCCAAAAAGCCGAAAAGCCACCCACCCTGAAAAACAAAACAAAAACCTTAATAAACAAAAAGAACGGAAAAATCATTTTAAAAAAGAAACTGTTCCGAGCGGCGATCTCCAGGCGGCCGGAGGCTTCCAGGGGCCCACCTCGCGCGCCGTAGGAGGCAGGGCCCCGCACCTCGCGTCTTTCCGAATTTTCCGAGCTTCCAGATTTTTCCCACTCTCCCCCCCCCCCCCCACACCGAAGAAAAAAAAAGAGCCGAAAAGGAACGAGCTCTTCCACCAACTGCGAAGCTGCCTGTGTCCAAACGGACTTAAGCGCAACCTCCCTCCGATTACAGCCATATTTCATTGAATCTCTGCTGTCCCAAACTTGAAGCTGTGACGGCATCTGTGGCAAGGCGGATCTGTGGTGTCTGCGTGAGCTCGCTACACGGCCGGAAGCGCCTCGATGTCCAGATAGACCACGGGGTTCGGCTGGCCCTTCTGAGCTTCGGCCGCCTCCCGCTCTGCCTCGACCCGGGCCGCATCCTGAACGCGAAAACGCGGAACCCCGCGCTTGGATCGCTCGGTCGCTTTGTTCGCGCGCTCGGCCTCCCGGCGCTCAGCCGCCTCGGCCGCTGCGGCCTCCTGCTCCCGGGCCTGGAACCTCTCAAGGCAAAAGATCTGAGAAGTCTCATCTTTTCAAACTTAATTGCTCTTTCTGGATCTTCTCTTCTCTCTTCTCTCCGTTCTTTCTTCCTCCCCGAAATTTTGAGGTTCTTTGCTTTGGCCGGATCCAAGGGCCCGGCTCTTCGGCGAAGCGCTCCCGCTCCGCCTCCTCCTCGAGGAGCTTCTTCAACGAACCCCGGTCCTTGCGCTCTCGAAAGCCGCGGCGCTGTCCGCTCGGGAGCCGCGCCTTCTTGGTGGAGGCGGCAACGCTGGACTTCTTCCGGCCGAAGGACGCCATTCAGCGCATCTTATGGCGCTAGCATGATGGGCCCATGTTTGCGGAGCTTGCTCTTGAGCATCTGCGACTTGCTGGAAAGCGGAAGGAAACATCCATGCCACTCTCACTGTGCCCGCCCCACCCATTGAAAAAATGCACCCTCCAGAATGGCTGATTGACACAAATCCCATGAATGCTGTCCAACAAGGCGTCATTGAAATTGACACCCATAGCTCTCATGCGCAGAAAGCGCAGGCAGGACCGAGCCCATGGCATAGTCATCATCGTGAAGAATGCGCACCATGTAGCGCACCGCAACAGCAGTCGGCTCCAATTCCTTTGCAAAAGGGCAGGGCAAGACTGGGCAGAAAAAACGCGCCAGCTGGCCTCGTCGCTCTCGGTTCTTGTCCGGGTACGTCCCACAGGTTCCCTCAAAAATCAGTGCATCGTGGAGGCATGATCCGGAGTAGCTGGCGGAGAATGTGATTCGCGCGCGCGAGTCCCGAATCCCGAATCCCGAATCCGAGGATGGGCGAATCCCGAATCCCGAATCACGAATCCGAGGACGGGGCCTTCCCAGTCCCGAATCCCGAATCGCGAATCCGAGGATGGGCGAATCCCTCCCGAATCCCGAGTCCGAGGATGGGCGAATCCCTCCCGAATCACGAATCCGAGGATAAAGCCTTCCCAGTCCCGAATCCCGAATCGCGAATCCGAGGATGGGCGAATCCCTCCCGAATCCCGAGTCCGAGGATGGGCGAATCCCGAATCCCGAATCACGAATCCGAGGACGGGGCCTTCCCAGTCCCGAATCCCGAATCGCGAATCCGAGGATGGGCGAATCCCTCCCGAATCCCGAGTCCGAGGATGGGCGAATCCCGAATCCCGAATCACGAATCCGAGGACGGGGCCTTCCCAGTCCCGAATCCCGAACCCCGAATCTGATCCCGAATCCCGAATCAGGAATCCCAAATCCCGAAAATGTGATCTAATCCCGAAATGCGATCAAATCCCGAATCCCGAAACTGCGCACGACCTCCGGATCACCACTCGGATCATGGCATGGCGTGGCGTCTTGGGGCCGGACTCATCCGAGTCTTCGTCCACGACCTGCCAATTGGGACGTCGCATCTGCGCATCCCACGTCTTTGGGCTGACATGGCCTCGGGCTCGGCCTGGCAGGGGCTAAGGCGGCTAAGGCGCCAGTCTCTCTCACTGGCTGGGGCCTCAGGCGGCTTGAACAGCGGCGGCGCCCCTTCCTGAGCGAAACTCCCAAACCCAAAGTGCCGCGGGTGGGAAAACCGAAACGCCCCGCAGCTTTCGACCTGAGATGCCGGCAAGTATTCTGCCAAGCCTCGGAGAGAAGAGCGGCGCGGGAGTGCGACACTGCGCTACCGGCGAGTGGCGCATCGCAGGCGGCAGCACGTACGCCAGGGTCGCGGTCGCCAACTGGTTCCGAAAGGCAAAGCTGAGAAGTGCACAGCGAACGGCTGAGCACGCGGACTCACGGCTCGCCCCAGCTCTTGGACGACAATGCGCGCATTCTGGCAATCGCTTCCAGGCAATCGCTTCAAGGCAAAGCAAGCCAAGCTGCACGCACTTTTTGGAAACGATCGCTAAGCATCTTTGGAAGCACCTGGCTCACTCTTGGAAGCACCTGGCTCACGCAAAAAGACACGTTAAACATCTCAAGCGTGATTCCATGTAGATCCTTCTCGATGTGCTGGAACACCTTCCTACACATTTGCCTCATTCATACCTAGCGCCATGAATTTCAATCTGATCAGCTTGAGTCTTTTCTCGCTTGGAAAACTCGCACCACTTTCCACCGGACCGAACTCGCAAAGGCTTGCGCCGTTTGGGCCACTGGTTGGGCTGTCGAGTGGCCCGGAGTCGGGCCCGCTTGCGCCGCTTGGGCTTTGGCCACCAGGATCGCTATACGGACCAGACCCATGCGCACTCACCAGTGGTTCCGCGAAGTTTACGCTGCCCTTCTCTGAGCCGCTCGGTCTGCCTGGGCTTTGTGGGCTTTGTGGGCTTTCTGGGTCTGCAAAGTTTGCACTGTAGGGGCTGCCAGGTTCTGACCCGGTCGGTCGACCGGGGGATGCACGGTCTTCATCGCCCTGGCGCGGGCTGTCTGGGCCATCTGGGCCATCTGGGTCATCTGGGCCATCTGGGCCATGTGGGGGCGGGTCGTACATGGGGCCTGCAGCGGTGTGAGGCGCCGCGTCTCCTCTTTCTTCCTCTTCTTGGAGCTCCTGGTCGCGCAGCATCTCGAAGTCCGCCCGTCTGTCTGACAGGACCTGGAGCTCCCGGATGTCCACCCGGCCATTGTGGTCCACGTCCAGGCAGCGGAACAGCAGGCGCTGCTGGTGCAGCGTGAGCCAATCCACCCCCATCTCCGTAAGCACCCCGTGAAAGTCCCAGAAGCTTAGAGACACTGCAGACGCAACGGGGACAGGCACCTGGCGCCAGAACCGGGTGCTCCGGCGCTTGGACGGGCGGGCCCGGCGCCGGGCCCAAACGGCCAGGACCCTCTGCAGCTCCGAGGCTGCCTGCATGGGCTCCCAGGAGAAACGGGCCACCCAGTCGCTGAACGTCATGGGCTCCACACAAACGATCTCCGCCAGCTCCCGCGTCAGTCCGATGCCCCCGACCTCCAAGACATCCCCAAACTCCGCACTGGATAAACCGAGGTCCACCAGCCCGGCGAACGCGTCCCTCTTCGCCCTCAGCCGCTCCTGCATCCGCTTGGTCACATCCAGGATCTGCTGCGCACGGACGCGCAGGCCCCCGACGCGCGTGAAGTGCCCCGCGGAGTCGATCACAAAAGCTTCCGCCAATTCCTCCTCCCACGGCTCAATCTCATTGTCGCCCAGCTCGCCCTCCATCGCCACATCTGCTCCTTGCAGCGGTTGCTCTAAGCTCTTTGTTCAGTGCTCAATCTTTGACGATGGCAGGCTCAATTAGGCAATCAGGTGCAAACATATCGCAACCACCCACCCTAAGAAAAATGACGAGTCCCCACATCTCTCGAAAGCCACCCCACTCCGCCCCTCAGGTTCCGTGCAGCTCCTCCGTCTCCGGTGATTACCTTGTGCAGCATGAGCTGCTGCGGCTCCCGCAGCCAGTGGATGCCGGCGCGGCGCAGCGCGTCCCTCAGCTCGAGGGGGCGCAGCTCCCGCAGCGATCTCCCCCGCCGTCGCTCGGCTCCGGCGCGCCAGGCGCGCAGCTCCTGCGTGAGGCGCCGGAACTGCACCTCCCGGACCCGGCCGAAGCCCAGGCGCTCCGCGAGCTGCTTCTCCGAGAGCCGCGGCAGCTGGGCCAAGGGGCTCCGGAAGCCCAGCGCCACCTCGGGCTCCGCGGGGCAGAGCTCCGCCAGACGGCCTTGGCTCAGGGCGTCCCGGCGCAGCGCGGCCAGGGCAGCGCCCCGCAGCTCGCGCCCGGCCACCCGCACCGCGCAGAGCTCGAAGCCCTCGAGGCCCGCGGCGCGGCCTTCCGGTGCCGCCACCACGAAGAGCGGCTCCCCCTGGCCCCCGCGCAGCTCGATCTGCCCCGGCAGCTCCCGCTCCACGCGCGTCACCACGCACGAGCCACCGGAGCCACCGGAGCCGGTGGAGCCGGTGGAGCCGGTGGCCAGGCCCGCAAAAGCCGCCATGGCGTCCCGTGCCCGGCGGCCCTCGACGCAGACGCTGGCCACGAAGCTGCCCTCCCGGAGCCTCAGGCCTTCCATGCCCACCTGTCCCTGGAGTCCATGCGCTCGCAGCGTCTCACGCAGGGCAAACGTCACGCGCTCCCGCAGCGCGAAATAATCCGAGCTCCACTCGAAGTCGAAGTAGACCCGCCACCAGCTGCCGAAGTCCAGCCACACCTCAGATGACCCAGACGCTGATGCAGGGGACGGCTCCTGATTCGCGGGTCTCCGCCACGTCGACCAGCGCACTGAGTTGATCTTCTCGCACTTTGGGCCTGGATGGTTCCGCTGGCGCAGGAAAGCATCCATGGCCGAGAAGAGGTGAAACCGGGTGAAGCCGGCCAGTAGCCGGCTCGGGAAATATGTCTCTGAAACCTGGGGTCGAGTATACCTAGCACGAAGGTGGACGTTTGCTGAGAACATGCACGGATCCAATGCTTGCCATTTGGAGGTCCTTAAGCACAAACAGCGGCTTCAAGAATGAGCCTGTGGCCCTTAGGTGACCGCACTCAAGTTCCTTGATGGCATCGTGGACTGGCGATTATGAAAATGGACATGTTGAGCACGAGCCAAGCAAACCCCACAATGCGACAAACACGTTGGCTCGTTGGCTATGCATTCTGATCGGCCCGTGCCTTCGACTTCTGACTCTTGCCTGCCATTCCCCGCAGCTCCAGCTCAAAAAAAATGCTCGGCTGCCCTGGCGATCTTTGGACCTGCTTGACACCTCTTTTGTTTCTAGCCCCGCAATGCTCCTTCTTTTGTTTGCACGGCATGGCTCGTGTCAGGCTGTTGACACTTATGGACTCTTGTCCGTTTTGCTGCCCCTCTCCCTCACCATGGCCACGGCGTAGAGGACCACCATGACTGGCACAGGCTCGGAGCATTCCTTGCCCGAAAATATCCTTCAGCCGACGCCTCCAATGATGCTGGTTGCTAGAGTGCCGATGGAGATCAGCAAGGCACACTCGGTCCATTCCTGAAAAACATGCCGGAAGCCAAACAGGCAGGCTGAGGAACCCGGCCCAAGGCGGGCGAGGCGAGCTGCTGAAATGGACCAGTCGGTATCGCTGACCAGCACCGTGCTTGACAGCGCCGTCATGATGAGCCCCGTGGCAAGCAGAACGGCTTCCACCAGATTGAAGACCTCAAGGCAGAACTAATTCGCGCGCATGCGCTTCGTGTGCACGATGGCTTGGCCAGGCGCTAGCTCCTTGTAGGGCATGAAGATCCTCAGCTTGCGACTTGCATCCCGAATCCCGAAGGCAGGCCCAGGCATCCCAGGCCCAAATCCCGCGAGAGACCGGAACGAGGCGCAGGAAGCACAGCAAGGAGATCGTGAGGATGACGCTGAGGCAAGCAAGCTGCAACGCCGGCGCCAACGTGACTGGTAGCATGGCAGCCGCCAGGGTGAGGAGCATCCTGGGCTCCGGACATCTGGAGAACGCATACGCGGAGACTCGGCCAAGATGCTTCCGTGTCAATCGCTCCACCTCCCACGCAGCAAACTCGGCCTCAGCGACATGCAGCCCCAATCCTGTCAGAACCTGCCTCACGTCGTCAGGCCCTAGTCCAGCCTTGTAGGCATTGGTGAGGTACATGACGTGAGGCGGGGTGGGGGAGACGGTGGACGAGGCGGCCCTCGTCCATGCGATCACCACCCCCAGCAACAGCAGCGCAATGATTCCTCACAATGCCAGAGCGACTGCACGAGGCCGGAGCTATCCAGAGAATTCAGCTCAAGTGAAACTCCTGCAGCCTTTCTGCCGTGTGTTTCCCCCTTTTTTTCGGTCACGGCTCCGGCGATGGTGGTCACCGGCGCAGGGATGTCCGGCAAGAAGTCGCAGTGCAGCTTGCCGCCCCGCTCCTCGCTCTGCACACGGTAACAGACCAGGTACCGCCCGAAGAAGCTGCAGAACTCGGGCATGAAGCAGTTGGCGCCCACCACCAGCGCCAGCCACGGGTCCTCTCAAGTTCTCAAGTCACTGCCCCTCTCTCTCCCTTTCTCTCCCCTTATTGCTCTTTCTTTCTCTCACTCTCTCCTTTCTTCCTTTTCTTTCTTCTCCTTTCTCATGACTTTCCTTACCTCACTCTTTTTTCACTTCTCCTTCTCGCTTTCTCTCCTTTCTCTCCTTCCTCTCTCTCTCTCTCTCTCTCATCTCTCTCATCTCTTCGAAGCCGGCGCAAGACTCGCTCGCTTCGGGTCCCGGAAGCTCAAGGCCAGGATCAGCAGCGCCGGGGTCACCGAGTGCAGCACGTGGGTCATCCACAGCCTCACGACGCAGACCCGCGCCGAGCCGCACACCGTGCACGGCGCCCGGCCCCATGGCCCTTGGGCCCCCGGCTCGCTGGGAAGCCCCAGGAACTCCGCGATGCAGGCAGTGGAGAGCCCTCCCGAGTCGGCGCCCTGACGCGCCGAGACCGCAGGACCGCAAGACCGCAGGACCGCAAGACCGCGCACGCTGCGCGGCCAAAAGAACAACGGCCTGCGCCGTGTCTGACACAAAGTCAACGCCCAGCAGGACCCGCTGAAGAGCGCCGCTCAACTTCTGGAAGGTGCCGGTGTGCATCACCTCGCACCGGGCAAGCAGCTCAATCCTCGCAACGGCAGCCTCGCAATGTCCAGTTCAAGGCGCTGCAGCCATCGATGTGCTGGCCACAGTTGCGAATGACATCAGCCTGAAGCAAAAGACGGCCAAACCGGGAAAGTCTCAAACCCTTGAAAACGGCGCCCTGAGGTCCGCGCTGATTGAGCAGAACAGTGCTGCGTTTGATTTCTGTGGTGGCCTCAAAACTCGACTTTGCGCTGCCGACACGGAATCGCTCGCCACGCCTTGAGCACGCCCTGTA